GACGTGAGGAACTCATCGAGCGCGAACGCATATTTGAGACATGTCTCCAGGGTGATGCCAAGCTCTTTGATCTTTGATCTTCGATCTCCGCGAGACGGCCCGGCCGCTGCGCAGCTGGAAATACGAAGGGGCGGTCGTGGATTCGTGCACGAAAGACTAGGGCTGGGTGGTGGCCGTCGTCGTCGTTGTTGTTGTCGAAGCCGATGGCATCTTTGTAGGTTTTTCGGTTCTTTGGCTTATTTTTTCTCTGCTCCAGGGTATATATATATATACATATATACATTTTTCTTCTTGGGCGTGAGATTTCATTCTATATCAGAGAGGTGGTTGCTTTGCTTATGATCTGGTGGGTTGTGTATGTGGGGAACTGACTGACTATTTCCTCCGCTACGGTGATAGTTAGTGGACTCGTGGGAGTGAGGCAGATGCGCTCGTTCCAATGGAGGGAGGATGAGAAGAGGTGTTAATTGGTTGCAGTCGGGGAGAGAGCTTCTAAAGCTTGCAGAATTCCGAAATACGATACCATGGAGTGGGCATGACCGGTGGATCTTCTCGTAACACAAGTGGAATGCCTCTCAGCAGACTATCCGTTGAAGGTGGTGGACTGGTCGTCTTTCTCCGGATCCTCTGGTCTTCTACTACGGCCTCGAACTAGGTCTCGATACATATGCTGTACACAGGAGGCAGCCAGCATAGACTAAGATCAGAGAGCAGCAGTTATAGGCTTTCGATTTTGACTGTGAAATAGAATGACCCCTATCGAACTAAAAATAAGATCCAATGGCGAAGCCGTATTCGGTTGTGTAGATGGTAACCGAAGACAGGATAACGAAGGTTCAACACAACAGAATATAATCACAGTGACACCCGACCCATCTGCTCGCTACCCAAGAGGAACAGCGACTGTTATCACGCTCTTTTCATTAATACCTACACGAACGAGGCGGTGGATCTGCGAGAAATCTCTGCAAGCAATCTGAAGTCCTGCTGCCCGCCCATATCCACGCCGTGCCCGCTCGAACGAAAGGTCGCTAGTCCCAGGACCTTCCCTCGGATATAAACCAGCTGTGCAAGCAACAAGCAGCGCAAGAATATTTGGTACATGAGAGAAACGCCAAAGACATGAGTATTCGCGAAGAAAGAAGATCAAGCAACCATCTGGGTCTTCTAAAGAACATAGACCATCCGTAAGCAGGATATACCAGTCTATACCAGCCTATAACGCCCGACACCAAATGAGACAATAAGCACCCCTCAGAAGAAAGGCTTGGTCAGAATGCGGTACTCGACGTAGTCCTCGCCATCGATGCTCAAGATCTGGGCCTGGCTGACAAGCTTTCCTTGGAATGGACCGTTCTGCTTTCTCTCGTACTTGATGCCGTTGTGATATTTGACATCATCATCGACAGCCTCGGGTGTGGCAGCGGTGCTGGCAGTCGTCGCAGCTTGTTGGGCAATCCAGACCTTGTTTAGCTTCTTCATATTGTTCTTGAGCTCCATTTGTGCGGTTTCTTGGATAATGGCCTCAGCCATGGCGACCTCCTGTCGAGTCTTCGCATATTGTCTCTCTCTGGCCTCCGCCTTTTCCTTTCTAGCTTCTTCGGCCACTGCCTCGACCTCAGCCTGGTGTCTGGCAGACACTCGGTGCTCAGATCGGGCGCTGTGACGGATCTCCATCTCTGGACTAGGGAAGCGTGCCTCTGCACCATGGTTTAAGCCTCGCTCGACGTTGATCCTAGCTTGAAGAACGGCCTTCATTTCATTAGCCTTACGCTCCTTCTCCGACTCTCTACCATCCTGTTCTTGTTGGCGAATCCGACAATATTCCTTGACTTCAGGTCGGCTCAGTGGTGCAAGATGAGGCTCGAAGACGACTTTTTTGTAACCAATCCATAACGCTCCTGCACCAACGGGAAAGTTACCATCAACATAGCGACCATCGCGTGTCAATCGCTGAACCTTGACCCGAAAGCAGTCAGTCTCACTGAGAACACCGTACACAGCATGCTTGTCTTCCAGGCGAGGCTCATTGGAATCTACCCAGTAGCCAAGAAGAACGCCATGCGGCTTGTTTTCAGCGCCAGGTGCGGCTTGAGGAGCTTGAGTGTTAGCAGAATTTACAGCTTGGAAGCTGGGATTTTTTTGAAGCGACTGACGAGGCAGCGATTGTCGGCTGAGAGACTGACGTGCGAGAGAGGTACGGGGGGCAACTGGCTTGGTGGGGTTTGCAGCTTCTTGTTCAGCCACGATTGCCTTTGCTTGCAGGACTGCCTTCGCATCAGATTGATATCGTTCCTCCAAGTCGACCTCGGGCTTGGAAGCGGACCGAATCTTGACGTATTCCTTGATCTCGAGAGCTGAGAGGCCTACTAAGTGCTGGTCAAAAATAATTCGCTCAAACGTGACCCAGCATCCTCCGGCCCCGGTCGGCGCGTTGCCAAATACTTCCTCTCCTCGTCGGTTCATGGCGTAAATTCTGGTTCGGAGTCTATCGTGAATATCGATGAAGCCGAAAATCACATGCTTATTATCATCATCTGGTTGGTCGGAATCGCGCCACAGACCGATTATGACGCCTCGTATAGGCTTCGCCACCTTTCCTCGCTTTGATGGTCCATCGGCACTAGGACTGGCTTTTATGGCTTGACCATAGTCGGATTCATCGTAATTGACGGTCGACGCGCGCTTTCTCTTAGGATGTGAGTGAGGTGTGATGATTTCTTGGTCTGTCTCATCATGTTCATTCACAACAAGGGAACTGTCGGCGAGAGCCATGGATGGCGCAACCACAGGCGCAACCATAGGCGCAACCACAGGCGCAACCACAAGGCTCTTTTCAGTGTCTGTGCTCATCAGGTTGGCCATATCATCATTGGCTTGGGCATCGGCGTCGGCGTCGTTGTGGTTGTCGGCGACAGCGTCGTTCAAGGGCGTGTCAGATCTGCGAGGGGCAGTAGTTTAGTTGGTAATCTTCAGGTTTCATGTGAAGCTTAGGTAAAAAAAATTAACTGAGACCTCCCAAAAGCAAAGAGACCAACACGTGGCATTGAACTTGCAGATGGCAATGGCAATTGGCAGTTGAGAATAGCGAGCTATTTGACAGCATCCACCATCGGCTCAAGGGATGAAGCAGCGGCCCTGAGGCAGAATGGATGCAAGGAAATGGAGATAGGATAAACTAAGGCGCTTGGGCATTACGCGTTGCTGCATAGGCTACCTATGCAATGCAAAGCGGGCAGATTCGCCCAACAACTCGATTCGCCGAAGATGAAGAGCAAAAACAAAAAAAAGAAGATGTTCAAGAACAAGAACAGGGGAAGAATTTCCGAAGTTGTGGGGGAACAGTCATCGCCATGCAACAATTGAACAATAAGCAACAGACGTGAACGTGACAAGCAACAAATAAATACGATAAGTGATAGACATAATGATGCGCGACGATTTAACGGCTCAGAAGTGCGTGGGGTTGCTGCTGGATAGATAACGTACCTCACGAACTCTCCCAGCAGCTTTTCGGAGTCGAGCGCGAGCTCACGCTCCATGCTCTCAGTGCTCCGGCTTGTCAGCGAGCCTGGGCTAGAAGAGATGAGCGCTTCCATGGTTGTGGCGGGAGATTGCATGCAGGTGTTGTGTTTGGTTGGGTTGATTTGGGTTGGGTTGTGTTTTGCTGTGCTGCGTGGTATTAATTACTGTGTTATGTTGTGTTGTGTTGTGTTGTGTTGTGTTGTGTTCAGTTGTGTTGTGTAAAGTAAGAGGTGGGTGGAGTTGAAGGAAAGAGGAAGAGAAAGTAAGAAGGGGGAGTTGTGGGGGGGGGAGGGGGGGGGAGGGAGGGAGGAAGAGAGGAAGAGAGGAAGAGAGGAAGAGAGGAAGAGAGGAAGAGAGGAAGAGAGGAAGAGAGGAAGAGAGAGAGAGAGAGAGA